GGAGTGCATTAGAACATTACTCTGGTAGAGGACAAAGAACTTTCAGAAGAAAAGCAAACTAATCGTTTTGTCTTATTTCTGTCCGTTTGCTACCGTGAATCAGGGATTTAAGGGCTTGTCATAGACGACCATCCGGTAGGTAAAATGGTTCAAAAATACACACAGATACTCCACTGGCTAAAGTAGAGTTTGCATATTTTCCGATAAGTCAAGATACATATCTCCCTGTGGTGAGCCTAACATACATAGTTCGTGGCCACGAATTCTTCGCAGGAAAGGTATGCTCCAATGTGCTACGCTTATTTAGACGATGTAAATTGAGCGAAATCAATTTGCCATCTGCGGGATTGCAACATCTAAAGGTTGTGTGTCGAATCGCTGTAACCTGCTATTTTGTAGGAAGTATAATCGGGATATTAAATGTACTACAAACACGATATGTGAAAGTCTGGCTACTTCGTTGTGTAAGGAGAGCGAGATGAAAGAAATCCGGAGGATGCGCTGATGCTACTGAAATTGCCGTTCCAGGTGATATAACCACCTCACATTGTTAGGTGCTCGATCCACTGATCTTCACAAAGGAGCACAGCAAGCGGCGGTAAGACTGTCTTTCAAACTGATTTTCGATGTCTATATTTTGTTATCAATTGACCAACAGGAATCTTCATTCAAGCAAAACGCCTTCGATAAGTAAGATCCACCTGAGTGAGCAATCACCATGTGTAAGAATTGAGTGGCCTAAGCGTCGTATGTTGTGCGGATTCATCCCAGTGTACAACTTGTTGTCGGATCTCAAAAAGAGGTCCGTGGTCACCGGTGTTAGAGAACAAGTGGCGAGTCTATGACTACATAGGTGTTTTCATTCATACTCTACTGTATTTAAACGTATATATCTCACTCGCAGGACTGTTGGCATGACATTTTAAAGTAGAATTTGTCGAAGGTTCGATGTGAGACTCTTACCAATCATGACGTGGAGCCTGAAAATATATAAATAATACTGCCCCGTGCTTCACATAGATAGTGGATGATGTTTTCCCATTTGCGGGCGATTGCAAGCCAAATTTGATCTTTTATACAGCTAACAAGAGACTGCAAAGCTTCGAAGGATAATTCCTATTTATTTCCTACCGCTGTATCACTTCTCAATTGTGCACAGTTCTTTCTGTTTTACAGCTGCTCCTTCAGTTTATCTTTGCTTGCACTCGTCTGCTAGCTGATCAAATGCGCTGGCACTCGCTCCGCTTTCCTTCATCCGCTGAAGCTTGACTACAACCCCTTCGAATAGAGTCTGCTGATTTCGAGTTCACTGACCTCCTGATATTAGTACTCGATTAGGTACCTGGTCAGGAACAATAGTTGCTAGTTCTTCAAGTTATTGACAGCATACTTGCTCAGCTGAGCGCCCCACATGTAATTTTCGTCACCGAAACATGGTGCTCCCTTGATACATTGGATGCTACTTTAGCTATTGCTAACTACGATCTATTTCGAAAAGATCATAGCACAAAGAAAGGCTGCGGGTGCATCGTATGTCTCCATCGGAACTTCAGAGCGGAGTTCATTGATGGCATACAGTCAAACAATATCCCAGAATCTCTGTGGCTATCAGTCGGTGCAGCCTCCTCTACAATACTTCTCGGTTGCATCTACAACCCTCCGAAAGCGACAGCCAAGAATATCGCAATTATCTCCTCGGCTTTTGATTTCGCATCGGTGAAACCACACGGTCTAAAGATAATCGCCTGGGATTTCAATCTACCGAATATTAGTTGGACACCACAAACATCCTCATCACTGCACAGGTCTTTCTTATCGGCTATCAGAGTTGGGGGTTTGCCTCAGTGGGTTAGCAGACCAACTAGGTCTGTCAACATAGTGGATTTAATCCTCCCACTGGGGATTCCGGACGCACAAATTGGCATCTTAGACAACTTACCTGGTAGTGACCACAAGATGTTACGCTTTTCCATCCACTTGGAAATGAGTACCAAACTCGACTCTCCTACCCGGTATACTATACGAGGGATTGACTGGGAGCATTTCGCAAAGCTGATCCGGTCCTCTAATTGGGATGGCTTTTTTCTCTCCACTAGCGCCCACAGTGCAGTGGAACATTTCTACTACCAGATCAATCGCATCATAACTGCACTTGTCCCACATTAGAAACGTGCCATTCCTTGTCCTATGAATGCAAGCGACACTCTGAGTAACTTGAAAACGAGAAAACTGCTCGGGAAATTCAGCAAAACTAGGGTCCTCGCTAGTATTACAGCTACACGAATCCATCGCCTGCATCAAGCGCTCACAAATGAAACGGATTGAAAAGCAGAGCGCCTTGTAGATGACATGCAAAGGAAAGGAACGGGCCAAATTACTCCGTCCTAGGACTAACGACCGAATGTCTTTGAGTACAGAACTTATTGATGAAGAGGATAGCCACCATAACGACTCAGCTGCTAATTGTGAAGCGTTTAGCACTATTTTCGCTGCTTCGATAAACGTAGAAACCGACCCTATACCTTGCTGCCCGGAACTTACAACAAGCGGCACAGATAATGTCGAGATTTCTCTTTCGACCATCCAACAGTCTATGAAGTGCATCACACCATCGCTCAAATCAGATTCCGATGGCATCCCCCCATTAGTTATTAGACTCGGTGGACCTGACATACCACTGCTTTTGCTAAACATGTTCACCTTATCCTTAGAATCTAGCTACTTTCCGGATTAGCAGGAAACATCGTTTATTGTCTCTCGTCATAAAGGGGGGCCCAAACAGCACGTCACTAATTGTCGACCTATCCATCAAAAACCCGTCGTCGCTAGATTACTCGAAAAATTAGTTTAAAGTGGAATCATAGACTTTATCCATCGTCGTGGGCCTTAACAAATCCCAGCATAAGTTCCTTGATAAACGTTCCTGTACAACGTGTCAGTTGCACTACCTGGATTACAGCACAGAAGCCAATGATTCGAAATATGCAATTATAATACTGTTCCTGGATATGCAGAAAGCATTCGACAAAGTGCTCCACAAGCGGCTATTGAAAAGAATAGAGTCGTTTGGAATCAGCGAACCACTATTTGTTTGGTTGACATTACACCTAAATGGACGTTACCAGCTAGTCACTTTGGGTGATCAAAACTCCTCCCCACATCCAATCACTATAGGTGTCATCCAAGGGAGTGTACTTAGTCCTTCTCTTTTTCCACTTTATATTAAAGATATCACGGTGTTTGTAAAACATGGCAGGCCTTTTTGTTCGCCGATAACTTAAAGACTGTTTAAAAGTTCGATGAGACGAACTCAATAGCGCAATGCTGCTCTTTCAAGAAGACCTCGATTCACTTGAGAAATGGTGCAACGTATGGACGCTAAATTTCTCAGCTAGTAAATCATGCATTATGTCACACGGATGTTTAATCCCTGAAGAGTCTGTTAAACTGAACAATAAACATATCTGTGTGAAATTAGCCAACTGTGATCTAGGCATACGATACTCTTCAACTTTAATTTCTTAGAGCAAGCTGAGTGTCAAATAGCAAGTGTTAAACGATCTATGGCTAACATATGCCATAAAATCTACACAACCCCAGCCAGACACGTGCTTTTCAAAATACTTGCACTTCCTTTGCTTGAATACTACAACATCATCTATGGGAACATGCGTATGGATGGCAGTAAAGCTTTGGAAAACCTGCAAATATCCTTCACTAAGCGCTTGTTCAGTAAATCAACCACCTTGAGTTATCAGGAGTGCTGTCAGCAGCTTAAGCTCAAGTCAGAAGCTTAAGCTAAGCACCTTTTGGTTGCGACGACTGAAACATAACCTGATGCTGATACACATTCTCATAAACCAAGAGACATACTCCAATCTGTGTACACTTAAAATGCAACATAACCACTCAGAATATAGGCAAGAAGACGTGTACATTATGTGTGCCGAGAACCAGGACAGCTATCCGATTAAAGTTCTTCCTCGTTAGATACGCTGTCGTGTGGAATAGTCTGCCAGCCACGATCAGGTCTTGTACAAATGCAAGAACATTCCAAATTCAGCTTAGTAAATTCATAGACCAGAGCTGGATAATGACGACGTTTCCATCGGGTAAATCACCACACAAGTTCTTCCAGGATGGACCAAGGAATATATAATTGATGATTAAAGATGGCACAAAAAACAGCAACAACAATGTGATTCCAAATTATTTTGATATCATACACCCCATATTTCACTCATGCGTCAGCATGATACTTATTGTACCCATGATCTGTCCACAATCCAGGGACAGCTTCTCGTACAATCGGGAAATATACTTATTATTATTATTATTATTTCGAGAGTTTCTTTCCTTCAGCTTTCTAAGAGAGGAGCTCTGTAGCTCCCCGGAATATAATACCCAATTTTTACGTAATATTTTATTACGGATCGATTTTGCACTATTCGATCTTGTTTTACTGCTCCTAACCATCCAGTAACGTTGGAGTCACTAGTTTATAGGAAGAGTCTTAACCGGGATGCGTAATCGAGTACCACTATCTGAAAGTCAATGAAGTCGAACACAGCGGACTATATTACAAGGGCCTAAGATCCTACTTGAAGGTATGAAGCAAAAAGGAGCGAATGTCAGCGCAGCAACTTAATAAGCAGACGAATGGAGCTAACGTGGACCATGGGTAGAGCAATAACACGAGAACAATTATTCTGCTTTCGATCAGTAATGAATTTGCACATAGAGGATCACTATTTTTGGGCTCTAAGAAACACCTCGGCCTCGTGGCTTTGCCCAAACTCTTGTGATGACGGTTGAAATGCACTCGGTAATGACATCAGACTTAAGCAGTACTCACACACTGGGAGGTCAACAGAAGTTTCCAGTTCTTCTAGAAACACTTGAATTGTGCACCTTGTATTTTTATCGATACAGCTGACTGACCACCTCTGATTAACACTGGCGAGAGTAGAATAGAAGAATCGGAAGTGGAGGGTGGATGTTTATTGAGGGAGTACAATTATCCCGTGAATTGGCCAAGAACACCAACCCGGTGGGATGTGACGCCAACCAGAGCAAGGGCTGCGTAGTGCTTGTTTCAGCCATATGACATTCTCTTGGCCCATGTGCGCGTGTGTGTGTGGTGCACACGATCCAAACAAGTTTCACGCTGTCCAGCTTTCCGCATCGACCGTCTAGGAGTGCAACCAGATAATAATATTAGTAATGGTTTTAAGTACAAATTCACGCAAGCTAAGGGAACCAGACTTTAGGCATATATAGGGCCAGACAACCTTTAGAAAGAATGAGCATTCTTTATAACACTAGCATTTCTCTAGATCCACTATAGTTACACCGTATTCAGCCATATACCGGCTGTGCTGTAGTGTTCATCGGGACCTCCTACAGACATGGGAAAAACAATACTTATACGCACCATGTCTGTGGCCTGAGAAGAAGTAGTGATGTGTCATTATATTTGACCTGCAACTAATACTACAGAACGTTGTCGACCAACTGAATCTTACCCAACAAACCGATCATCCATCAAGAAAAGCAGAGTAGCCTCCAAAACAGTAGCGTATCACTAACCCGCTATTTGGTAGCTACCACCGTTTATTGCTATTACGGAATGTGCACTTTGATCATGTGTTATTCGCCGGGTCCCAGGGCCTGTAACAAAACTGTGCATGTGATCGGTTGAACCGTGACAACTGGTAGGCATCCTGTTAACGCGGCCGATTGGCTAAACGGGTAGAGAAATATGATTGGTTCTACATCAAGGTCATGCTGGCTAGTGGCTATCGCTAAATTATGGGGATGGGTACTATCTGAACGGAACCCACCGGATGGGATCGGGCTGCCAGTTTATTGTTCCTGGTGCCATATGACAAGAAGAAGACGCCTTTCGGACAGACATTCCCAGTGACAAGCCGGTGGTGTGTAGTAGCTGAGACCGCAACAGCGGAATTAAATTGGTGGTCCAACGGAGCATTAACCTATCTACGAACATTTCCGTCGAGCAAATTATCACGGAAGTAAAATGAGTTTTAGCGCACCCAAACGTCGCATTTCGGCAACTTTGCAGCTCGACGGCAGTTCCAAGGTCAGTATGTACTAATCTTTATCCATTTACTCCACATTTCTCTGTTTACATGTGTGTCTCCATAGGAAGCAAACCAAGTTGCCTTTTTTTAGAAGTTAGTCCGCACGTCTTAACCCGATTCATCCTTGCGTCAAAGCAGAGCTGGTATAGCTGTGGTTGTCTGCTATTACTAGGTTTGAAAATGTCTAAGGCCCTGATTAATGTCACAGTATCTGTTCTTTTCACATTATCATTCTCTTCGAAACACACTTATTGAGTCAGGTAGCTAAGATCACAATCTATCTTCGCCTTAACGTTGCTAACAGTAACCATGTTTCTCATATGCTGTATGAGGCTAACGAGTTCGAAACGGCTCACTCCGAGGAGTCTAGTGTATGTGATTCGTCATATAAGGAATCCAGGATCAAACAATGTGCAATCACTACAACTCATTAAATGTAGTGACACTAGTCCATAGATGAACTGTTGACCGCAATTGGTCCGTGCCTTCAAGGGGGGTTTGCCTGAATCCTTCAGCTAAAACGGTATGCCAAGAGTAACATCCAAGTTGGTTATGCTGTGCCTTGATGTTAAGCGGCCAATCAATTAAAAAGTTGTCCTTGATGAGCCCGCTTATCTCGCGTTCCTTCTATGTATACAAAGACGGGTAGTCAATGATTATTTCTCATGTCCGGCTGCGTTACACATTGCTTAGGTTCAGTAATGAGCAGCCCACACAAACTGATCAGCGGTCTCTCAGATCACTTGATCAAGCGTGGCTATCTAAGTAATTTTTGTCGTGTGTTGTTCACACGACAGTACTAAGGGGGCATAATTAGTCCCATTGAAAATCCTTACAACCGGACTCACCGCGAAATCCAGATATCGGGAAAGTGAAGAAATCTGCATCCTGCCCAACCTTATCAGCAGAGGGTGTTTTTCGCTCCACTACGAAGTTTGCAACCTACTGTAATGCGTACGGGGCCCTTGAGCTGAACGGTTTCCCGTAGCTGACATGACCTAGTCTGGCACTGCTCACTGCTGACGAATTTCTAGAAGATGCAGCAGCCGACTAGCGTTTTTATGGAGTGCTCTGGGCAGTCTAATTGGGTTCAGTATTGATGAGTTCGCTTCTAAATCATTTTTGACAATAATAACTCCTTATGAGCGGATTTCGCAATGCAATATTTTCCTTTAACTGCTTGGTTAACACTGTCGTTCCATGGCACAACCTAGACCAACCGTTCTGCTTAGATTGGTAATTTTTTCACGGGAACCAGACACTGTATTTTCATCAGCCCAAGCAATTGCCAACTGACCAAACTCTACTATACCTATTTCACGCTGGTCCACGCACGAAACATATTCTAAATCCTGGACTTCATTGCCATAACAGAAAACAAGCAGAGAAACTTAGATGAGCTGGTACACTACCAACCTCAAGGGTTGAAAAATTGCAGAAAAGTCGGTGTGAAATTTCCCCCACTGTACAGCACATTCTCAGTGCAGAATTGGTCCACTGCATTTATTCAATACTGAGATGTTACAGTGGATTAATTTATTTCTAACAGAATTCGCAGGGTAGGGTTTTTTCAATCCCACTATACTGAGGACCGATTGAAAGCTGCCAGATTTTCTAATCTTGCTTCGTAAACATACTACCGAGTGGTGGGGATGTGGAGCATCTGACGGCTACTCACTATCAGCGGTTCATTAACTTGATAGCAAGCGCTTGTTCACAAATCTGCTCCTTCGCCTTTGTCTTTAACTGCCGATTTAAAATCCTGATGTGTGCTGACACCCGAGCACACATTTTGCAATGCTTTTCATATCACGATTTCTGGCCACTTGCGACCGAGATTCTCTCAATAAAGATTCTTATTACATTAATACGGACCAGTTTCCACATACAGACAAAACTCTCTAAGACGACCACTCAAGGGATCGACAAAAGTGGTCGCCTTGGACAGGTGGTCGCCATGGACAGGTTCATGCATAGGGACATTACTCATAAGAGAAAGCGTTGGGATGTGTTTGACTGGTCCCCATAGCAGGTTAGACTGCACTTACGGAGTTCGTCCGCATTCCTGCTGAGCTCGAAGCTCACTGTGAACACATTACCTATTATTATATAAATTGTGCTGTGAACCCTATTAGTGTGCACTATATGCTAATTACTTGATTGAATATTTAATTTACCGTGAGAAAATCTTATGGTCTTTTTGTAGGCCTACTTGAACGTGATTCGAGGCGACACCTCTTAGACTACTTCTCAATAACCCAAATTTTATATTTCCGACCTGCCTGTATTAATTTCTCCGATGTAAGCGTTTGCACAAGTGTTGTACATCAGTTAATCCGTCTGAACTAGGGCCGTCATTTGAAGTGTAACTATTTTGATAGTTTGAACATAAGTTGGACAAAGTGACAAACACTGAAATGAAGCTTCAGCTGAATAATAATAATAATAATAATAATAATAATAGGGATATATCTCATCGAGTGAAAAACTGTGTCCATATTTGGCACAGATCATATTTTACAGAAAATGTCATACTGATGAATGTGTGGTAGATAATTGTGTGATTTCCATAGTCTTTTCTGTCTCAAGGGTATGTATTTACTCACACGTGTGTTTAATGCAATGTGCACTAGTTGGATTAGGGGATAGTAACAACACTAGGAGTGTATCACACTGCGTGCAATTTTTTCTTTCACCCATCAGATGTTGTCTGGCGCTTCTTGGAACAAATTATCAAGTGATCTCTCCCAAGAGAACAGAGTCATAATTGTGGTCAACTCTAGGTACTTTGCGAGCTTAACGCGAAAGGCCGTTACGCTCTCACACGATCTGACTGTGACTGGAAGCTTATTCCACAGCACAACATATCTGATAAGGAAGAAGTTGGACAATGCTTCGACGTATGTTACGCACTTCCTGAGATGCGGATGACGTATGGTGTTAATATACAATTGGTTTTGTCACGGGAGACATGAAGAAGGGTTAAGTTCTTGCATCGTGCCTCTTTTCATCGCGACCGCAGGTCTCAGCATCGAATCATCATTGTCCAGTGGACTAGTAAGCCGGACATAATTTGTTCCTATTCTCTGTAGACCCTAAGCTAAGAAAACAATCTCAGATTCCCACTTCTAACGAGACGGATCCTCGATGTGATTGGTTGACGCCAACCAACTAGATTTCGCACGAAAATTAACCCGCCAGAAACTGCAGGAATACATTGCTTGACATGGTCCTCAAAAATCCATCCTGGATTTTATGGTGGCTGATTCGGAATTAAGGCAGCTATCACATGTCCTCGTTGATTTGCGCCTATATTTTTCGCCTCAAGTACCTGTAACAGAATTAGTACTATTTTCCATTTACCCCACTCTTCCGAGGGACATACAACCTCCGCTTTTAAGATCCGCCGTCTGATAGGCTGGCTGTAAAATTCGGCACCCACACGTGGCACTCGTGAATTTGTCATCAGTCGCAGGATCGTTAATGACTCCATGTTCTCAATATATGTAATATTTCCTACTGTTTACATGTGGTATCAGAATTGTTTCAAACTTACTTTGCAATCTATTTGAATTGTTACCGAACAGTACAGAATTTTTCTCGCATAGATCGATGATTTTGCTGCGATTATTCCACTGTCCGTGTCATAACAAAAATGGAATGAAGACACCTGGAACGTTGTCCAGACGAAAAACACCAACGAGACATAGATCAACTGCAAGGGGTTTTTGGAAGGTATCAACCGCCAACTGATTAACCAATTTTGCTTGGCAACCATCAAGAGTGCTTCAGATACTTTGCACAGGACGTCAAGGGCAGCAGGGGGCACGATGTTCTTTAGTTCCAGAAAACTTATTGCGAGAACTTCACCAGTTTCCGTACATGAGTAAAGTGGTTTCCTGAGCAGGCTTAGAGATGCGATAGACCCAAAGTACCACAGCGATGCTCACAGTAATGGAACTGAAATCATGAGTTTAAAAGTGAAACAAGTTGCGAAGTTGTTACAATACGGCCCTCCGAACTGTAATAGTATCATTTTTGGGATATGCAATGTCTAGTGAGCATCCCTAAGTAACGGGGTTTTGGTGCACCCTTCAAGCTTGTGCACTGAGTGGATCAGCAGTGTAAATTCGATGAGATCGAGAATGTTTCTCGATTAATAGATCTTGTCAACCACAATACCAGTGCCAGGTGTGTGATCCCTCAACTTCATTGTGCGAACTCTGATAATTGTGTTTTTCGAAGAAAGTTATTATCACCCCAGTAGCTCTCTTGATCTTAAAGACCATATGGCCAAAGTGAGGAGTGTTACATACTGCAGAAATAATGCATGACCCATCCGCTTCTCTCCAGCGATGTGATACGCAGGCAGGTACTAGACGGAAAAGTGTGCAATATTTTTTTAGTCACGTTTATGGAATAACCTGCATAGGTCCGAGCAACAATATTGAAGATGATTTTTATTTTGGACGCCAGTAACTTTTTACTTAAAAGGCGGGAAATAAAGTCACCGAATCCCAGATTGGGTGCCGTTGGACTCATCTAATTTACCATGCTTGAGCCCACGCCACAAAACCTGTATTTCGCTACAGACTTTGTGGAACCTGGGAAGCACTTGGTTCCAGTGGTTCGTTTGCAAGCTTATCCCAGTCGGACTGTTTGCTTAAAGTTTATAGGTGGTGGTAGTTAGCTCTCTGGTTAGGCTAACACTGACCACAGGGCAGTGATAACTGCTGGTCATCTATTTCATCGATGCCGCGTTATATGCATGCAACGGCCGGATTTTTTGGAGTGCGCGGTATCGGCAAAGTGAAAGCAAATTGATTTTGAATAGACAGTTAGGGCACTATCTTTTGTTCCTCTTCTTATTCAGTTTATCACAGGCATCCCTCAGTTCACTGTTGTATGATGCAGAGTTGAATACTCTTCTATACCGACTCTCTGACAACTAGCTTTTCGTACTGCTTACCAAAATTTGGTTTCCTACCCTTATTGACCT